TAAGCAAAGGTTTGATTAAGTTTGGTTACATCTGGTGATTCTTCAGATTTAGGACAAGAAACCCTTTCCTACCTTGCTGGAAGGCAAAAGACTTACTATAGCATTTTAAAAATAATCCCTTAATATTTTCTAAAATATCAAATATGCAAACCTGTCCTTTGCCCCAGCAATGCCAGCTTTGAGAATCTATTCATAGACATAAAAGCCCAATAAAATACTGGTATTGCATAAGGATAGTTAGTGCAGTCTTGTTTTAGAAGTAGCAAAGTGCTTAACCATTTTTCCTGATGATTCCTTATCAAGGAAGTACCACCCTTCAATAAATCAGTAAGGAAAATGTTGAATTAAGTAAACACTGAAGATTTGGGTAAGATGGCACAGTAGGAGGACCCTAGGCTCACCTGATCCCACAGATACAACTAGATAACACACACATCAGTGTAAATAATCCAGAAAACAACCTGAGGACTGGCAGAACAGAGTCCCCACAACTAAATGTAAAAAAGAGGCCATATTGAAGAGAGTAGGAAGGGTAGAGACATGGCCAAGAGCTAAATGACCTTGAGAACTGTCCATGGGAGGGAGGGATGCCTGGGCATGGAAAGCAAAGAGTAACAGACCCTCACACCAGGCATCCCAGGTACAGGGAGCCTGCATAGGAAGAGGAATCTTTGTAATTTGACTTTGGGAACCAGAGGGGCCTAATTTCAGTAATTCTTACAATCAGTAAGGTGTAAGGATTGAAACTTTAAAAGTCAATAGGCCCCACTCTGGGAGGGCCTGGAAGGCAGTAAGAAAATGACTCCCTACCCTTAAAAGGACAACACAACAAACAGCCCCAGGGAGATACAGCATAGAAGCAGCAGTTTGAAAAACATCTGGGATTTATGGAAGGGACATTTGTTTACTAATCTCAGACCATGTGCTAGAGGGGCAGGGGTCTTTAGGAGACTTCAAGAACAAAAGAGCTGGCAGACACCAATTCCTTCCCCCACCCCCTAGCTTAGGCATTTGTATACCTGTGGGACAACACTCTCTACCTAATTTGTTAACAGTGTGCCCCACCCATGCTTCTTTTGTAGACCTGCCCCCTTCAATACACTCTTGACTGGAGCCCAACCAAAGCAGTGCCACAAGCCTGGCAGTATGTAAACAGCCCCAACAGGGGCCAGCACCACCCCAAGGTGACTCCTACCCTGGGGAGAGGGGAAGATAACTACACACACCAGTCTGACTGTGGCACCAGCACTGGGTTAGGGGCAGACATCTTCTCTGACTGCTGGTCCTACCCATCAATGAAAACTTTACAGGGGACAAGACAGGGGAAGCACCTTACAGTTTGGTGCTACTGCATTTCTGGCAAAACCTGGTCTGACTCAACTCAAGTCCAAGGCGGCCCCAGCCCAGCCCACTAACAACACAGGGACCCAACCCTGCCCAAAACAGGCAAAAAGAGCAATTGGAGATGACTAGACTGAAGGCAAAAAAGACTCAGCCATAACACAAGGGCACACACAACATAATAGGAGATACCCTTGAAGCACCAAGTTCCGGTGAGCAGGGGACATTGCACAGCAGGGCACTACAGGAACTCTTCATGAGGCCACTACTTCCAAGAGAGATGTAGCTGACTTTCCTAACACATAGAAGCAGACCCAGAGAGTTAGACAAAATGAGGATTCAGAGGAATATGTTCCAAATGAAAGAACAGGACAAAATTACAGCAAGAGAGTTAAATGAAATGGAGATAAGTAATATGCCTAATAAAGAATTTATAGTCATAAAGATACTCACTAGAATTGAGAAAAGCATGGAAGACTTCAGTGAGGAGGTCCCTAACAAAGAGAAAGAAAACATAAAAAGAACCAATCAGAGATAACAAACTCAATAAATAAAGTTAAAAATACACTAAATGGAATAAGTAGACTAGAGGAAGCAGAAGAATGGATCAGCGACCTGAAAGACAGGAGTGTAAAGCAATCAAGCTGAACAGGAGAGAGAAAAAATAATAATAAATTAAAATAGACTTAGGGAACTCAATGACACCATCAAACATAATAACATTTGCATTATAAGGATCCCAGAAGAAGAGAGAGAAAGGGGGGCAGAAAATTTACTTGAAGAAAAAAATAGCTGAACATTTGGAGGAGGAAACAGAAATACAGATCCAGGAGGTAGAGAGCCCTAAACAAAATCAACCAAGGAGGTCCACATTAAGACACATAATAATTAAAATGGCAAAAAAGTAGTGACAAATAAAGAACTCTATAAAATCAGTGAAAGAAAACCATTACAAAGAAGGGAAACCACATAAGGATATCAGATGATTTTTCAGCAGAAACTTTTCAGCCAGAAGAGAGTGTCCTAATAGATTTAAAGTGCTGAAAGAAAAAACCTGTAGCCAAGAATACTATATCCAATAAACCTATCATTCAGAGTAGAAGGAAAGATAGAGTTTCCTAAACAAACAAAAATTAAAGGTATTAATGATCACTAAACCAGCTCTACAAGATATGTTAAAAAGGATTCTTTGAGTGAAAAATAAGACCCTAAGTAGGAGTAATAAAAGTAGGGAGAACAGGGGTGCCTGGGTGGGTGGCTCAGTCGTTGAGGTCTGACTTCAGCTCAGGTCATGCTCTCGCAGTTCATGAGTTCAAGCCCCACGTCAGGCTCTGTGTTAACAAAACAGCTCATAGCCTGGAGCCTGCTTCAGATTCTCTCTCTCTCTCTCTCTCTCTGTCTCTCTCTCTCTCTCTCTCTCTCTCCCCTTCCCCTGCTCATGATCTGCCTCTCCCTGTCTCTCAAAAATAAATAAATGTTAAAAACTTTTTTAAAAAATTAGGGAGAACAAAAGCAGTAGAATTAAGTATATCTATACAAATTGGTCAAGGGATTCATAAAATAAAAGGATGTAAAGTATAACACCATACACATAAAAATGTGTAAGGGAGCAGAGTAAAGAATGGGTTCAAACTTAAGCAACCATCAACTTAATATAGACTTCTATGTGCATAAGATTTTAGATACAAACATAATGATAACCAAAAACCAAAAACCAGTAATAGCTATGTAAAAAATAAAGAGAAGGGAGTCCACATATGTCACTAAAGAAAGCCAGCAAACTGAGAGAAGATAGCAAGAGAAGAAAGGAACAGAGAATAACTACAAAAACAACCATAAGACAAGTCACAAAATGGTAGTAAGTACATACCTATCAATAATTACTTTGAATGTAAATAGACTAAATGTTCCAATCAAAAGACACAGGGTGACAGAATGGATAAAAAAGCAAGACCCATCTGTATGTTGCCTATAAGAGACTCATTTCAGACTTAAAGATGTACGGACATTGAAAGTAAAGGGATGGAAAAGCATTTATCATGAGAATAGAAGTGAAAAGAAAGCTAGGGTAGCAGTACTTTTATCAGACAAAATAGACTTTAAAACAAAGACTATAACAAGAGACAAAGAAGGACACTATAGAATCATAAAGGGAATAATCCAACAAGAAGATATAACAATCGTAGATATTTATGTATCCAACATGGAAGCTATCCAACTTTCTGACACAATTGAGACTGTTGAAAAGAGACTGTATTTTTCCCACTGCATATTGTTGCCTCTTTTGTCATAGATTAGTTGACCATGTAATCATGGGTTTATTTCTGGGCTCTCTATTCTGTTCTGTTGATCTATGTGTTTATTTTTGTGCCAGTATGATGGTATCTTGATTACTACCTCTTTGTAGTCTATCTTATAATCTGGGATTGTGATGCCTCCTATTTTTTTCTTTTTCAAGATTGCTTTGGCTATTCAGGATTTTTTGGGTTCCATAAAAATTTTAAGGTTGTTTGTTCTAGTTCTTATACTTCTTCCTTACCAATTTGGATGCCTTTTATTTCTTTTTCTTGCCTTATTGCTGTGGCTTGGACTTCCAGTATTATGTTGAATAAAAGTGGTGAGAGCGGACATCCTTGTTTTGTTCCTGATCTCAGGGGGAGACTTTCCACTTTTCAACTTTGGATATGATGTTAGCTGTAGGTTTTTCACATATGGCTTTATTATGTAATATGAGTAAGAAAAAAATCCCTTCTGATACTCTGTGTTGGCCAAGAATAAGAGAAGGGAGCTCTCCACTACTCCTATTTTCCAGTAAATATTCTGGTATCTTCTCAGAGGGTATGTTTGACTAATTCCAACACCCACTCTTGTGCTCTTTAATTATAAGTTAATTTTATATTACACACTTTCATTCCAGTTGCAAACTTTTTTTATAAAATGAGTTTTTTTACCCATTGGACAAGTAAAGGAAAAATAACATGCTGTGTTTATGAGTACTTTTTATAATATTGGTATTAGTAATAGCAAATTCATAGAATTAATGTGATAGATTAAATGGTTATACTAATTTATTAATACAGTAATATGCATTGTTAATTTTCTTAATTAATATTCTAGGCATAAATCATATTAATATATTAATTTATGTGTGCATATACACACACATAATGCTTGATATAGAATCCATATTTCTTTACTTGTTTATGTGGCCCAAAACATAAATTAGATCTACACTTTTTTATTTTAGTTTGATGATGCTTAGTAAGATGCAAGTCATTTTACAATATGCCATATGCATTATAGAAACTATCTTTAGAAAATATAAAGTATGGAAAATGCAGACTTTCTGTGTATACAGAATTTAATAAATGACGATGACTTTTAAATAATATCAGATAGTGAATAATAAAGAAATAATACCACTTAGAAACATTTAACATTTTAACACGTTTTACTGATTGCTTTAGATGTTTTTGGTCTTCTGTGTTCTAGTTGGTGTTTTTCAAAACAATTTTTTTTATAACATGTCATTCTAGATTGTTGTGGGCTTTTCATTTTATATAACAGCAGCTGAGATTTACACACTAACAAATGTATGAGGCATTTTGAAATAAATTACAGTTTTACGTTCCAATTTCCCTGTCTCTTTGTTCCTCCAGGTGGCTTTTACAGTACTTTTTGATTTGGAAGCACTTCTGAAGATATGGTGTTTGGGATTTACTGGATATATTAGCTCATCTCTCCACAAATTTGAGCTACTGCTAGTAATTGGAACTACTCTTCATGTATATCCAGATCTTTATCATTCTCAGTTCACATACTTTCAGGTAATATGAATAATGTCTATTTGTCAGTAGAATTTGTTTCTTTCCAGAGGAAATACCAGTTATGTAATAATGACTATACATAATTATATTAAATGGTTATATACAATTATTATATAATAAACACAAACTTGAGATAGGCCCAGCGACATCTTCAGTGCCAAAAATAGTGCATTCATAAATTATAACATTGTTTTTAAAACTTCTGAAAATTCACAGTGGAGATATTTTAGATGAAATTTTCTCCTAAGATGAAAAAAGATGCATTCCAACTTCACTGACTTTATTTATTAGAGATTCCAAAGCTGTTATTTTCAGAGCAGTTTTAACTTCAGCTGCCAGACTGCAAGCTGAAACTCTATACTTCTGATACCTAGGGAAAGGACATGAAAATATAATTCACAGAAATGATAACAAATATCCTGTAAACACATGGGTTAAAAGCTAGGCCTCTAATAATCATTGCCAAACATACTGAAATCACAAAGGATATATGGTTCAAGCTTTCAGTACATCAGCATCTTTGGACATAAGCCCTTTGTCATTTGTTGGGTTATATCCTTAGGCTTGGTTATAATAAGTGAGATGAGTAGGGCAAGAGATATATACATGTTTAAAACTCTTGGTACAAAATGTACTTCCCAATCATGCCTTTGTATGCTCTTGGGCACTGATGTCTAGATTCACAAAATCAACATGAGTATTTAATATATATGTTTGATAATTATAGGAAATATGCTTGATAATGAAAACAACAAAATATCTTTTATAGACCTATGAAGTTAACCAAATTAAGAAAAATATTGGTCCCGGGGCACCTGGGTGGCTCAGTCAGTTGAGCTTCTGACTTTGGCTCAGGTCATGATCTCTCACTCTGTGAGTTCAAGCCCCGTGTTGGGCTCTGTGCTGACAGCTCAGAGCCTGAAGCCTGTTTCAGATTCTGTGTCTCCCTCTCTCTCTGACCCTCCCCCATTCATGCTCTGTCTCTCTCTGTCTCAAAAATAAATAAAAACATTTTAAAAATTTAAAAAAATATATTGGTCCCTATTTCAGCAAGGATACATATACAAAATATATTCATGGTTTTAAAATTTCTATACTTTCTCACAGATAATTTTTTAGTGAAAAGTTAGAAATAGAGTAATCTTTGAATCTAAAGATATTTATTTGAGAATTGTTTACGAGATTAAAAAAAATGAGAACTTTTAAAATGGTAAACATTTGAGGAATAGCTTAGCAAGTCATATGCGAATTTGACCACAAAAATAATGACAATGATGAATTTGTAATTACTCAGAGACATGATTAAAATAATATGATTATATTTTATTTAAACACAAAGCAGTATAAAATTATATAACATATATATGTTATATGTATGTATATCTATAGCTATATATTTATATGTAAAGTACCTATAAATGGAAAAATGACAGGAAAGAAATAAACCAAATTATTACAGATTATTAAGTCATTATGTCTAGTTTTTTTATATTAGTCAATTTTTCCCAAAATACCTAAAATTAGTGTGCAAGGTTCTAATAGTTTTATATATATATAGACATAGTCACATAGTACGCAACTCAGTGAGTTTGCAACTTTCTTTTAGTTTATTTTTTGAGAGAGAGAGAGAGTAGGGGAGGGACAGAGAGAGAGGGAGAAAGCGAGAATCCTAAGCAGGCTCCACACTGTCAGCACAGAGCCTGATGTGGGCCTTGAACTCACAAGCTGTGATTTCATGATCTGAGCTGAAATCAAGAGACGGAATGCTTAACCAACTGAGCCACCCAGGTGCCCCCAGTCTGCAACTTTAATGTTATCTTTGATTCTGGATTATAATCGATAACAGTTTAATTTATGTTAATGGTTAAGTGATTTTCATTTGTATCTCTCTCTGTTTGACCATGTTTATATTTCCCTAATGAAATAATTAAACACTGCCTGGATTGTTTCGTGGAGAAGCTTAAGTGTCACAAGGATTTTTGCGCATATAAGAACTGACTGTCTTGAGCAGATTGGCTCTTCGTGGGTCCACTTTGATCTCCCTTGTGGGTCCTCACATTTCTCATCTGACATGGCCTTTCCTCATCGTGTTGGCGGCCTGGCTTCCATTAGTGAATTTCACATTTTCGTATTTAAGTGAAGTCAACAGTTTAGTACAAAATGACTCCCTTTATAACATCAGTTATCTCTGAGAGCAATCATTGGTGTTCTTCATCTATTTATTCAAATGGTATTTACTGAGCACCTACTATGTGCCAGGCACTGTTCCAGAAACGGAGGACAGAGGTAAATATGCAGGGAAGAGCCCTAGCTCAGTAAGCTTACATTCTAGAGGGCAAATAGTTCACAAACAAGGATACAAAAGAATGTGGAATAAAGTTCTGGAAATTCAGTAAAGGAGAAACAAGGGTGAAAAGGATGGAGATTGAGGGTGAGGAGCTATTTTAGATAGGTTGCTCATGGCAGCCCTCTCTGAAGAAGTTGCTTTTGAGCAGAGACTGAGTGAAATGAAAGGGCAAGCCAAGAGAACCACAGGGCAACTGTCCTGAGGTAGAAACATGCTTGCTGTGTTCGAAGAATAGCACAAAGGCCAGCATGGCTGGACTGGAATGAGCATAGGGCACCATTGTCCTGTAGGAAGAAATAAAGTGTTACAAAATGCTACAGCTCTGATGTACCGGATAATTATGATGACATCAGCTGGGATTTATTGTGCATTTACTATGTGCTGGGCACTGGGCCGAGAGCATCATGCTATTGGTTAGGCACCACAATCCTGGGAGACAGAGAGCATGCATGCAAGCTGAAGTGCTAAGACACTTGATAACTTGCTCAAGACCACATAACAAACAAGTGATGGAAACGCATTACTAAGAAATTTAATTTCATAGTCCATATTCTTGGCCATACAATTTCTGAAGTATCTCACTTGTAATTAGCAGACTGATCTTGAAGAGATAGACTTAGAAATGTGACCAGGAAAATATGCTTTGGAAATAACCACAAAATGTTCTGCAGTGCTTACCTTTGAGAGTATGGTTTACTTTATTTCCTGTCTGTGGAAGCACCAAATCAAAAGGCTTTATTGGGTAAACAGAGTGAAAAGCATATTTATCCCCAAATAGATGAAAAGGCGTAACTAGAGTCACTGATAAGGACTTTGCCTTTCCAAGGATGCAGGCTTTCCCCTTTCAAAATGCTGATCAAATCGGCCCTGTAGGAATCATGTTAAGTTCTGCTTCTTCCAACTAATGAAATTTTAATTTATCAAAATTGCACAGATGTGCATAGGATGTTTTATTAGAATTTGGGATAGGGCTCAAAATTACTTAGGCAATCTTTTTTTTTTTTTTTTAATTTATTCATTTTTGAGAGAGACAGAGCATGAGCAGGGGAGGGACAGAGAGAGAAGGGAGACACAGAATCCGAAGCAGGCTCCAGGCTCCAAGCTGTCAGCACAGAGCCGGACGTGGGGCTCGGACTCACGAGCTGCGGTATCATGACCTGAGCTGAAATCAGACACTTAACCAACTGAGCCACCCAGGCGCCCTAGACTCTTTTTTTTTTTTTTTTTTTTTCAAAAATTTTTTTTAACATTTATTTATTTTTGAGACAGAGAGAGACAGAGCATGAACGGGGGAGGGTCAGAGAGAGAGGGTGACACAGAATCTGAAATGGGCTCCAGGCTCTGAGCTATCAGCACAGAAACCGAGATGGGAAACTTCCTTCACAGTTCCAAGATCTTGACCTGAGCGAAGTGGGGCGCCCAACTTGACTGTTTTCCAAGCCCCTAGACAGAAATCTTTTTAAATATGGTTTTAATACAAGTGGAGAAAACACACTGTATTGAAAGTTGAGCTATAAGCCAGTTAAATTGTTCCTGTAAACTTGCTCATTTTAGCTATTAACAATTAGATACTGAATCATTTATATCTGAGAATAACAAATCTGATAAGAATCTGAAATCCTTCCATATAATTATTCAGGATATTAATATGAATGCAAATATTTTAATAGTTCTTATGATAAAGCTATTTGCTTATTACTTGGAAAGATGACCTGAGTGCAATATGTTCTGATTTGGGAATATATATAAATTCAAACAGAAAACTGGTAGCTTAACCATGTATATAGCATAATGTTTACTCGGAACAACATGATTTTTCACATAAATTTTCGTTTTTCAGTATTGCAGGGAGGAATTAAAATTAGCAACAAGAAAATATACATTTTCTCAACTTCTTTACATGTGTGTCCATTTAGTTTACTAGTCATGTGGCTGCATTTGGATTCTGTAGACATTCCTATTATTTCACCACAATATATTCTGTTAATTCAAAGTCTAAGGAAGTAAAAGTGGCTTCAAGTATGGCATGATGCAGAGGCTAAAATGGAATCGCAGGGGCTCAGTCTATTTCCTCACTCACTTTTCTTCTGTGTCAGTTATTCCTAAGCTAGCTTTGCTCCATGTAGTGGCAAAGATGGCTCCCAGAGCTCAAGATTTCTGTGGTGCTCACAGTAATGTGAATTGGGAATGAAAAATGGCACACCTCTTACAGGTCCAACAAAAGTTTTGAGGATGACTCAGGTCATTGTGAATACTCCCTCCCGGCCTGGATCATGGACATCACAGAGTCCCTTCTGGTCCTCATGGACCAAGAGTGGAGCAGGAATGATTTGTCAAAAGAAAATCAGGAACAGTAGGAAGCTAGGGATGCTGGAAAAATCCAAACATATGTTATTTTATATGTGTAAAAATTAAATCTAGGTTAAAATTTTTTTAATGTTTATTTTTGAGAGAGAGAGAGAGAGAGAGGAGAGAATGAGCGGGGGAGGTGAAGAGAGAGTGAGATACAGAATCCGAAGCGGGTTCCGGGCTCTGAGCTGTCAGCACAGAGCCTGACACCGGGCTCGAACCCACTAACTGTGAGATCATGACCCGAGCTGAAGTCAGACACTCAACCAACTGAGCCACCCAGGCACCCCTAAAAACTAGGTTTTAAAAGCATTTCCTGCTCTTACTCTGTTGAAGAGTATTTATTTTCTGCTACTAAAAAGCATTCACAGTCACCTTAAGCTCTCATCAAACCATCTTGGACAACCTTTCCACTTACCATAGTTTATTTGTGCCAAGACCATAGTTTTCCTGTTTTCCTATTTCCTATCTCTTAATCTGGAATCTGTCTTATAATCAGTGGTATGCCATTCTTTAATTGGGAGCACTTTTTATTTTTCAGAGGCACATATAAAAATGTTGACATCTCAGACTTAATGAAAAATTGCTACTTTTCCATGTTTTATATTTCAACCTTGAATTACATACTAAATTATACTTTTAATCTTATAAATATGCCCTTAGGAGCTTTGCCTTTATATTATACTCCCTCTGTAATTTATAAACATTGAATCTTATTTGTCCAACACAATGTTTGGCACATAATAATTAATCAGTATTTGTTAAAGTGAAGAGCAAGTGAATTTATTAATCAGTAAGCTATGGAGAGTTGCCTTTGTATATATGCAAAACATCTAAATATGTGTGTGTATTTAGATATAACAAAGATCTAAAAATGCAAGTCTTACATAAGACAGAAGTTTGTTTCTCTCCAGTAGTTGGTGGGTGTCCAGGGAAAGTAGGTGGCTCTGCTCCACACAGTCATGCAGGAAGCCTGCCTGTTGAGGTGGATTGAATCTGTTAGCTTCCATACAAGGCTTCCATTTCTGGTCCAAAGGGGCTACTCCATTCATTTCAATTTCCCTGCCAGAGGAAAGCATAAAGAGTATCCAGGGCAAGTTTATTTAATTAAATGTGCCAAAAGTTGCAAAAATTACTTCTTTTCATGTTCCTTACATCTGAACTTAGTCGACTGGCTAAGTTCACCTAGCTATAAGTGGGGCTTGAAAATGTAGTCTATAGGGGCGCCTGGGTGGCGCAGTCGGTTAGGCGTCCGACTTCAGCCAGGTCACGATCTCGCGGTCCGTGAGTTCGAGCCCCGCGTCGGGCTCTGGGCTGATGGCTCAGAGCCTGGAGCCTGTTTCCGATTCTGTGTCTCCCTCTCTCTCTGCCCCTCCCCCGTTCATGCTCTGTCTCTCTCTGTCCCAAAAAAAATAAATAAACGTTGAAAAAAAAAATTAAAAGAAAATGTAGTCTATAGTCCTTGCTAGCCACTTGTTACGCTAAAATTCTGATAGTTCTATTATTTAAAGAGAGGATGGAATGGATATTATGGTATCACTCTCAGGCATAAGTAAGGACTCTTTGATAGTAGATTCTTAAAAAAAAAGTCTATATGTACAATAATATATAGGAAGCTTTGTTTTATGAGACATATAGCTAATGTTGGATTAAGCCTTTCATCTACATTTGAACATAAGAAAAATATCAGTTGTATTTCAACAATATGTATTAGTTAATAGCACTTTGAGGGGTGCCTGGGTGGCTCAGTCGATTAAGCATGTGACTCTTAATCTCATCTCAGGTTATGATTTCACAGTTTGTGAGATCAAGCCCCATGTTGGGCTCTGTGCTGACAGCACGGAGCCTGCTTGGGATTCTCTCTCTCTGCCCCTCCCCAGCTCGCATGGCCTCTCTCTTTCTCTAAAAAGAAAGAAAGAAAGAAAGAAAGAAAGAAAGAAAGAAAGAGTAATAGCACTTTGAATTATCACATTATATGTAAAAAAGCTTTTGTTACCACCATTTTCCTTCATTCATTCAGGATTTATTGAGCTCTGGCTAAAAGGCAGAAAGGCAGGCACTGAGATATACCAAGATCTTAGTTATTGTAGTGTTACTTTTTGTCTGTAGCTACTCACATGGAAAAGTGTGATTTTATGAAGTACTGTGAAAAATAAGGTTTTAGTGTGAACTTGTTTAAGATTCAGTGTGAGTAAATGATCAAGTACATATGTTTTTCTCTCCCACAACAGGTTCTTCGGGTAGTTCGACTTATTAAGATTTCACCTGCATTAGAAGACTTTGTGTACAAGATATTTGGTCCTGGAAAAAAGCTTGGGAGTTTGGTCGTATTTACTGCCAGCCTCTTGATTGTTATGTCAGCAATTAGTCTTCAGATGTTCTGCTTTGTTGAAGAACTGGACAGGTTTACAACGTTTCCAAGGGTAAGGATAAAAACTGCAGTCAATTTAATCCATCATTCCCATTTTAGCAATAATGGTTAACATCAAAATAATATCCCTTTAACAGTGGATCAAAAATACTGGCATATTTTTGATAAGTTGGAATAATTCAGTTTTAATATTTAAAATGGTCTCTTTTGCAGGGTGCAGGCACTTGAGCCCGTTTTCAACACTGTTAGATTATACCTCAATTGTAAAATTCTGGAAATAGTCTAATAAAATGAGAGGCTAAAGCCAGTCCAGTTGAAAGCTAGAGTTCTTAGTACCTATAGATGAAAGTATAGCAGAGTATTTTTTTTAAGTTTGTTAATTTATTTTGGGAGAGACAGAGAGCACAAGTGGGGAGGAGCAGAGAGAGAAGGAGAAAGAGAGAATCCCAAGCAGGCTCCACACTGGCAGTGTAGAGCCTGACATGGGGCTCAAACTCACGAAATTGTGAGATCATGACCTGAGCTGAAACCAAGAGTCAAGACACTTAACTGACTGAGCCACCCAGGTGCCCCTAGCAGAATCTTAAAATAAAATTTGTTTTTTGTGTCTCTGAAAGTTGACATTTCAAAATCTGTTTCACAGTTCATATATTATTTTTTAATTTTTTTTAATATTTATTATTTATTTTTGAGAGAGAGAGAGACACACACACATAGACACACACAGACATGCACAGACACACACACACACACACACACACACACACACACACACAGAGTGAGAGCGGGGGAGGGGCATACAGAGAGGGAGACACAGAATCTGAAGCAGGCTCCAGGCTCTGAGCTGTCAGCACAGAGCCCGACACAGGGCTCGAACTCACGAATGGTGAGATCATGACCTGAGCCGAAGTCGGACATTTAACCAACTGAGCCACCCAGGCGCCCCTAATTCATTTTTTTTAAGATAAGCTTTGTGGGACACCTGTATGGCTCAGTCGGTTGAGTGTCAGACTTCAGCTCAGGTCACCATCTCATGGTTTGCAAGTTCGAGCCTGCATTGGGCTCGCTGCTGTTAGCACAGAACCCACTTCAGATCCTCTGTCCCCCTGTCTCTCTGCCCATCCTCTGCTCATGCTCATTCCCTCAAAAATGAAATAAACATTAAAAAACTAAGCTTTGAAGGCAAAAGTGTCTGTACTCAAAATGGTAGACTTATATAGGCTGGTTATTATTTTTTTTAACCTCGTGCTAAATTTGTTATGCATCACCAAGCATTTGTTGAGTGTGTATAAAGAGCCAGGCAATTTTGGTGATCTTAGGACAGAAACACGACTATATCCCCAGTCTTCAGGAAATTCTCGGTTGAAGGGCGTGCCAAGTAAGTAAATGCAAAGCATGATAGAGGCAGGCACAAGGTGCTCTGAGAACCCAGAACTAAGATCTGTAACCAGGAATGGAAACGTCCAAGTAGGCTTCTTGGAACAGTCACTAAAGAACAGTTGTACATAGACAATCAAAGTGGAGGAACACAGTGTCCTGGGTTTGGGGACAGAATATGCTAAAGGTCTGCAGTGAGCCTTTCTTGTTCCAGAAGGTAAAGGAGAAAGCAAGGCCAACGGTAAGAGGAGGATACAAGACCAAGGAAGGGTTAAGTTGGATGAAAGTGTGGTTGTATTTAAATGTTCGTTGAGAACAAGCAAGTAGAAGGTGAGGTTGAAGATGTAGGAGACACAGAGGACAATAGCAAAGGGTTCTTGAAGAGGGCATCCAGAGCATAGGCACAAGGATTGCTCTTAGACAAGTGTTGACACGTCCTGCGTGGAGGTGGTGATGTAGGACAGCAAGCCAAACTGAGAGTCACAGCCAGTCTTTATTTTCCTACTACCACAGTACAAGCCACTGGCTCCCAGAATTCCATTTTCCACACTAAACAGCACTGGGTGAGTGTCAGATGGGGGAGTGTATTGTGGCAGGAAGAATAGGGAAAAGTGCCTCAGCTGAGGCCTCTTGATGTGACTCTCAGAACAGAAGCACCCAAGCTAGGAATGTGGCTGTTCCTAAGAGCATGGCCACCTGGAGTGGGGGGTGCCGAGTTTCTGCCTGAATCTCCCTTCAGAGACAGACTGTGCACCAACTGTGGTGTGGGGATGGCAGCCCACCCTGCGAGCTTGTGGGGCAGAGCCTCTCCGGTGCCTGGGGTCGGGCCACATAGGATGCTATTGTCTTCAACAAGAGGCTCAGCTCTTCTTCAGGGTTGGGGGCATGCAAGCAAAGATGACAGTGATGTCACTAAGCCCACCTTCTCTTTGTGTGCCCCGTCACTGGGGAAATGAAAATTGCAGAGCACCATCGTTCAGAATGGCACTGAGACTGTCATTGTCACAGTCCATCTCTGAGCCCAGGTTAATTCAGCACACAGTATTGAAGGCCCACTTAGGGCCAGCCATTGTTCTAGGAACAGGGGATCCTAAAAAGAAAACCACCCCCCGTCCCCTTCTGTATGTACACAGTCTTCTCTTAACGTCAAATCTTATCTTCATCTTTTACTGTCTCCTCTAATCTCACATCACCGATTTTATATTTCTTAGCCAAAGCCTCTTGGGCCAGATGGCTTTTGGAGTTCAGAATATTCTAGATATTACAAGGGTGATATCACTCCCTTCTTGGTTTAATTTGTTTGAGTCAGCACTCTGTAATCAATACACAAATGTTTCTTTAGCAAAACATCAGCCTTTGGGCAAAGAAGAATAAATAAGGACAATAAATAAGTCTTAGGTCAGATTGACTTTCTGCCACTAAATGAGCTACCAAAAAAAAAAAAAAAAGAAGAAGAAGAAAAAAAGAAAGAGAAATTTTAGGTATTTTCAAGAATTTTTGAATGTAATAAGAAGGCATCACAGATAAGAGTTTGCACTTCTTGTCATACAGATCTGATTTCTTATCACTGCCCCCTCACTTCTTAGCTATATGATACTAGACAAATTAGTCATTAAGCTTTTATTTTCTCACATCTAAAATGTAGGTAACAATAGCATTTTCCTCATACCATTATGTGGATTTAATAATATACCATACATACAAAATATACAAAATCCAACTCTTAGAAACATTTTTAAATGTTATATTCTATGTAATACAATATATTTGAAGTCGGTATATTAGATTCTGTATAAAAGATCAGGCTGCTTCAGAGCCACCCGACTTAGCCCCTTGGGATTTGCTCTATTTTCCAGCCATAATAGTAATCAAGTAGCATTACGTTTTCAGGTCTCCAATTACTCAATTGTGCCTTTCTGCCTGATTACTTTGACCATCTTAATGAAAGCAGCCAGGCAGCTATGGGGCCCCCTAATCAGTGATTCCGCAGCTGACGGGGTTGACAGCCTAAATGTGTGAAATGACTAGGAGTAGAATTTTCCTCGCACATGAACGCATTATGCATTAAATCCCTGAAAAATAATCAAATTTTGCAAGAAATGTTGAAAACATTGCAGCTACAAAAAGTAGTCATTATCATTCCCAGTCACATAAAGCATCATCCGTTGGTGCTACTTGCCTGACAGGAAATCATCAGAAAAGATGGTTAAAAACACATGATAGTCGATGGTAGATTTCTGTTCAGACACTCATCCATGGGTCTTACTCCCTTCCCTTCTTATAGAGCATCTCCCTCATTATCCATGGGTTGGGTGTTGTGGTAGGTTGGTTAATTATGGTGTTAGCCAAAGTGCACAAGATATGGTTAGCGGGCACCAGCCTCCGAGATGATGGGAGTCAAGTAAAGATAATAAAAACAAGTGCTGAGTCTTCAAGTTCCTGTTTTACTTTGGGATGCATCATGTGATTTTTCTTATACGTACTTAGAGCTATGGAATGCAGAATAAACTATGTGCGCCCATGAGAGATGCTGGGAGAACACCCATCTTGAAGGAATCCAACAGAGGCAGAGGCAGAGCCAGCCTGACTTGGCAAAGCAGCCTCAGTCTTTGTGCCTGGAAAAGAGCTTTTCTGTGGCTCTTTCGTGAACCAGATTTGGACCCAGACATCTGGGTGGCATATTCTCTCTAAGGAAATAGGACTGGATATGAACTTAAACACTGTTTGATTGGATTTGTATCTTGGGCCCAGCAGCCCACTGTGAAACCCTCTAAGAGGACCTGACAGGAACATGTGAATTCCTAAAACAGCAGCCCGGGTACACAAAGTGATTGCCCACTGCATTGACCCTCTGACAGAGCTCCAGCCACACTGAAGGACCCCAGCTACTTCCTGAAACACTTGAAGGCAGAGAGGTCCTAAAGGATTTTCACTTGTGTTATTCCACAAGTTCCCTAATGGGTCTCTGCCTCAGTTGGCCACTTCTCGACCCATCTCCATTTGTAGCAAAACTTAAACTGTTTCCTGGAACTCTGCTGTTTAAAATGTTTCAAGGTCTTCCTTTCCCTCACGATACCACACATTTTGCTAGAGTTTTCAGTATCTTCTCTTCTCTATCGCCAGTTACCTCTTTGGGCTCATATTTCAGGATTTCCCCCATCACATCTTCCAAAGGCAGAGAGGGCATCTATCTTGCTCATTAAATCCTCCATGCTTCGCACAACACTTCCCAGTGAATAGGTTTTCACTGAGGAATGAATAACAATGCTAGACCAAAGAAAACTTCTGTGATCCTTCCACACTGTATCAGGCTCAACATCCCAGATTCTTTCTTCCACTGCTGTCCCCTTCCTCTGGGAACCCCTTTACTCTCCATCTCCCTAACCCTTATCCCATCTGAAATGTCTGCATAATTCTATCAGAATGCTTTGGCAGGAAGTAGCAGAAATCTTGACCCCAATCAACTTGAACAATTAGGAAATTTCTCAAAACTTGAGATTAGGTAAACCAGAAAGCCAAGACTCTGAATCTTTCACTGAAATTCTGTTGTGGGCTGAATTATGTGCCCCAAAAATATATGTCTAAGTAACCCAAAATATTACCTTATTTGGAAATAGAGGTGATTAAGTTAACATGAGGTCATTACATTGGGCCCTAATCCAATATGACTGATAC